GTGGCCTGCTTTGCTGCTGATGGCGTCGTATCGTCCTCGATGAGTATCCACACGCTGGATGAATGAGAGGTGAATCCCCGAGCCTCGGTACTTTGCCTGCGGGATGCCTTCCCAACACGCCCACTTCACTTGGCAGCGTCCAGGCGGGGAGGCAAACGGCAGCTGCTTTTTGACATATAACGCGTCTATCGTGTGCAACTTCCGTGCTCCTACCCGGACAACCCACCTTCACCACCTACTGCCCTAGAGGTCAACACCTACCTTACGCGCCCCAACAATGGCCAATCAAGTGGCTGTTATGCGTGACGACGACGCGTTCGAGAAGAGACCCGTCTCTCTTAGGGAGAATGTCGACGGCTCCCAGGACGGTTCCGGCTACGAGTGCGAGTTCAGCGAGCGCGAGCAGAAGAAGATCATTCATCGCATCGACCGACGCCTCGTCGTAACCGTGGGCGTGCTCTATTGTATCAGTCTGATGGACCGCACCAACCTCAGTGCCGCTGCCATTGCTGGGTTCGTGAACGACACGTGAATTTGCGCGTCCTCAAGACTAACGGCAAGTAGTATGACCGTTGACCTCAAACTCGGCCTCCTAGAGGGCTCAATTTCACGCTACTCCATCGTCACCATCGTATTCTTCGCGTCCTACATCGTCTTCCAACCCCCGGCAACCGTCATCTGTCGTTATCTCGGACCTCGCAATTTCCTATCGGCTATCGTTGTGCTGTGGGGCGGTGTCATGATTGGCATGGGCTTTGCCGATAGCTACGGTACCATGTCCGCGCTACGAGTCCTCCTGGGAATCCTAGAAGCTGGCTTTTTCCCGAGCTGTGTCTACTTGCTGTCCACCTGGTGTAAGATCATGCTGGCCCTTGGATCGCCACAATTTGCTAAAACCCCTCTCAGATACTCGGTTTGATATCGGAAAGCGATACTCATGCTTCTACATCCTTGGAAGTTTGGCATCTGCCTGCGCCGGTATCCTCGCTTACGGCTTGATGCAACTGAAGGGACAGCAGGGCCTGAACGGTTGGCGCTGTAAGTCATCGCCCGGTTACGCCTTGATGCGACTCTGCTGACGTTGCATCTTCCAATTAGGGATCTTCATCATCGAAGGCGCGCTCACATGCTTCCTTGGTATCGTCGGTTACTGGGCTCTGGTTGATTTCCCTGACAAGGCGCATAAGTCCTGGAACTTCCTGACTGAGCGTGAAGCCATGTTCATCATCGACCGCGTCAACAGGGATCGTGGTGATGCTAGGCCAGAGCCATGGTCCATGGCCAAGTTCTTCAAGGGTGGTGCTGACATCAAAATCTGGGGTTTCGCGATGGTACGCCCCAAGATTTCCAATGACCCCCCATTCGCTGACGGGTATAGATATTCTTCAACACCACCACAGTCACATACGCACTGGCATACTTCCTGCCCATCATCCTAACATTGAACATGGGTTTCAGCACCGGCGCTGCCCAGTGCCTCGTTGCTCCTCCTTACGCTTTTGCTGCCATCGTCATGTACACCACCGGCTGGCTTGGAGACAAATACCACCTTCGCGGACCCATCATCCTGTTCAACATGGTTCTCTGCCTTGTTGGTCTGCCCATCATGGGTTTCCATTCCAACCCGAACGTCAGGTACTTCGGCGTCTTCTTGACCACCGCTGGCGCAAATAGCAACATTCCCGCGACGATGTCATACCAGGCAAACAATATCAGAGGCCAGTGGAAGCGCGCGTTCTGTTCTGCCATCTTGGTCGGCATGGGTGGTGTTGGTGGTATCGCTGGAGGTCTCGTTTTCAGGTATGTATCTGCAAAATGCATTCCATCGACCGTGCCATTCTAATGTCGAGTAGGGAACAAGACAAGCCCGGATACGAGCCAGGACTGTACGCCTGCATTGCGTGCTGCCTGCTCACAATCGTCATTGTCATCCTCATAACACTGAGATCCTGGAGCTTGAACAAGCGTGCCGATCGTGGTGAGCTCGAACTGGAGTACAATGATGTATGTCTTCTCAACCTTCTACACATGTGGCAAGATATTAACGCACGTACAGGATGGCGACCAGAAGGGCTTCAGGTATACTTACTAGAGCTGCACCAACCGGATCATCAAAGCATTGATGGTTCTGTACGAATTCGAGATGCCACACCAGACGATCGTCTTCTTCACACGGATTCTTCTCCGGCTTTAGAAAGCATCCCGATATTCATGAACTCATCCCCGATTGTTCACTGCCTTGATTGATTGTTCTCGAAGATAGATATGTGCAACGTGAGCGTGAAAAGACCTTGGACCGGGTAGCTGTACACGTCGTGCGTACACAACCAGGCTGCTGTTATATGGTGTTTTGGCCAGCCTCGGGATCAGTAATCATGTTCTTGTTGGCCTGCTTCCACTCAAGTACGCGTCACCCGCTCTTGTAAACGCGACTTTATGCGCTTCCGGAACTCACGTCATAAAGCGTTGGATGGCGAAATGTGCGCACGCGCTTCTTATCTAGCACATCCACGTGTGTTGGTGGCACAATTTTCGCGTCTTGGTACGTGCACGCCTGTTAGATTTCAATTTGAAATCCAGGGTCTTACTGGACGCTGAACACGTCAAAGCCCACAACTCGCATTTCAATACAGTGTATAGGCTAAGTGGTGTTCAGCTCGCTCCCTGTAGCCGGTTCCACCTCCTTGGGACAGCTCACAGTCTTCCAGAGTCCTCCTTCGAGCTGTATGAAACATTCACTATTGCTGCCACCGAAATCACCGCTCACAAACACTTTGCGCAAATTTAGCAGAGGTCACAAGGTCTCGTAAAGGGCGAAACGAACCTACTAATACAGCAGCATACGCAGCAGTGGCAGCGAAGACTTCTGCTCGTCCTGCGTTCGTGCAAAGCATCACACTCAGTGCAAATAGTAATGTGTATACGGCTATGAGCCCCAGCTTTGCGTTTGGGTTGCTCAAAAAGTAGAGACTAACAATCGCACCGATCAGCAAAAGTGCAGCGAGCACCATGCTTATCGCGGCCACAACCTGTGCGACGAGTGTGTCGTTATATCTGTTTGAGCTGTCGAGTTCCTCGCGTGGTGAATGTTTGGTGAAGAGCCAGTGGTTCCTCAGCGAACGAGACAGGTAATCTTGGTTGGAGGGCTTCTGAAGAGCCACCAGGTCTTGTGCATCTTCTAGAAACTTGCTCGCGCGACCAAATATCAGCTTCTTCGAGGAGACTGGCATGTTTTGAATCGCGGTTCCGTTGAGATAATCTGTGTAGGTGGTCAAGATTCGTTGACTGGGTTTACCGAGTTGCGCGACTTGAGCGCGCAAGGTCAGCGCTTCGTCTGGCCAATGAATCAGCATAAAGCCTAAGATGTGATGAAGCGACCAATAGTATTCTTTCAATAACCCCTGCAATTCTTTGAGCTTTACTTGAAGCTGCAGTTCGAGGCTGTTGGAACCGGGTATCGCCCTTTCGCACAAAACTTCCCACCGCTGAAGCGACCGGCGGGTGTCCAAATCGGCGGACTGCCTGATCTCAAATTCCAGGCCTTCGATCTCATCTTCGAGTGTCACCATCTGACATTGCAGCGACAATATGTTGCGCGCTGCAAGTACCCCGAATTTGCGAAACACGAGGGGCTCATCGTCAGGATCTCGAGCGATCCATTTCGCTAGCGATGGATAGCCATTTCTGACGTCTGTGAGATCGATAACAAGAGGCGAAGTAGATGGGGCCATGACGTTGTGGCTATGCGAGAACCTTGAACGATTGGTTCGATATCATGTGCTGTACCAAGGTGACGATGGATTGTTCGCAAAGCAGTCATGTATTAAGGCGGAGTAAATTAGCCAGACCAAGCGATCCTTATCCACCTAGGTAATCGCAAGTGATTTGACAGATGTGTCGGGAAGCAAGTTGAAGCTCGTATGAGCTCAGCCCATGCATTTATGGTGCCGGTCACACAAACGTGGCGAAGTTCATGCACCTTGACTGCAGTCAAGTTTGAGAGGCGGCCTCAGCCGCCCCTCCACATAAATCCTGTGTGTCCTTATCTCTCCACGCCGAACGGCACACGAATCCAACCACCACCAGATTTGCAATAAAACCACCTGAGCGGAGTTTCTTCACGCACCGAAACATCTAGAAGCTTTCACCATCATCCCAACCAAAACCACAATACCGAACCGGGGTGACACAAGACCAAACATTGCTCTGAGCTGAATCACCTACGTTCCACTGTAACCTCTCACGTATGTGAGGCGTCCCCGCGCTCGGGAGCTTCGACAGCAGCTGACCAGGCTCAGATCAAGTACCAGAAACGTCACCATGAGCCTCAACATCTCCCGTCGCAAGGTCGACTTTTTGATCAATATGGATTCACCCGAAAACGAAAAGTTCAGCGAGATGACACGTCGTAGCTGCGAAGACGACCGAATCGATACCCTGCCTCTTCGAGACCGACGTGCCGCCCGTGAGGTAGAAACGAGGCGGCGTGCGCAATGGGACGGGGAACAGGCGTTGGGACAGGCTAGTCCGGGGATGGCGCTGTTAGTTCGGTAGCAGAGATGCATCGTTAGGTACTCACCTACCAAGGGTATAAACACGCCCTTGATACCCGAAGGACGGAGTTATGGGTCCGGAAGGCTCATGATTAACAGGAAAGACAACATCAGAATGGGAGCCCCGGAAAGCATGTACAGGAGCGGGCGACAGTGTTGTACACAAACCATGTTCTGCGGCTTGTAATCTAGTATTATATACACTTTAAAGGAAATGAAGTGGTATTCAGCGAAAGATCAAAATGTCAAAATGTGTGACAACGCCTGCCCAATGCCAACGGCATAGCAAAAGGCTGGAAATGCGACGCCTTCACCACCCAAACTCCGTCCGTCGCTATGCAAACGCTCCGAAGAAAAGTGAAGAGAAATACTAGATCGAGAACAAACAGCCTACAGCAAAGATGGCCTGCTACTTGGCTTCATACTCGTGTTAACGAAGACTGGTCGCTAGTAAGATTTGTATTTCTGCACAAATGTTAGTTCTGTTCACATCACTAGTATAGTAGCATCACTTACGTCTTCAATCTTACGCCTCGATTCGGGATCAAGCGCGTTGCCTACGCCTAGTAACGTATTGCTCACCAGTTTCGTGGTACCGACCGCAGGTCGCAAGATGACAGTCGGTCCATATCGACGCAAGGCCCTTGCGACACCCGTACCGCTACCCTCTTCCATGACGTTTGCAGGAATCGCGATCACCGCGTCACGAGCAGTGTTCCAGTCGCGTTCGAAGTGTCTGACCGCGCTGCGAAGACCAGCGCCCACACCGATCGGCTGGTTGGCGTAGTTCGATACGGCGCGTGGCTCTTCTGTATCGGAACTAGGATCTTCTCCATCCCAGTCGAGAGATTGATGGCGGCTCGATGAGTCAGTCTGTGGGTTAAGAAACTCCTCAGTGCCTTCCAGCACAGTTTGCGCGCCGATCGCCATCTTCGCACCCAAACGTGCTGCCCCTGACGTTGTGTTCATAGCGAATGCTTGTACACCCTTCCCCAGACTGCGCACAATTCGACCGTCTTTCTTGTACTCGCGCATTGGAACAACGACGAGGTCTTTGAGGCCGGAACCGACATTCACAAAAGGTCGCAGGCCTGCCAGCCCCGATAGTACGCCTGGTAACTGATTGTTCTTGACATCCGGTGACCACACGTCATTGAGAGTCTTGTGAAGTTTGTCGAACGATGTAATTCCGTACAGAATTGCGTGGCGTAAGGTAATGTCCGAGCCGTCGAGGACGAGAAAATTCATGAACTCCGTTGTGTGGCCGGACCGGAGGCCGCGATAGTCCACGCGCTTTGGCTTGTAGTCCAACTTCAGCTTAACCGCCATCACTTCCAACCGCTGAATGAAAGGCTGGTCACCAGCTGGGCTGCTAGCGGGTGCGGAATCATCTTTGAACTCAAAGAAACGCGTGATAAAGTCCAAAGCGTCCTGATCGATATGCAAGCGGAGTGGAAGGATAGACACCTGACGATCAAATTAGCAAGAGCTGGGATGTTCAACATGCATCAAGACTTACTTTAATGACGAGCTCCGAAGCCGCTAGATCAGTGATCGGCTTGACCGTATTGAGTTCAAGATTTATCATCGGACGAATGAGCTCTCTCTTCGCTGGATCGATTGCGCACGTGACAAATTTCTTCCAGGTAGAGCTGGGCATGTGATCGAAAACCTCTAGATCTCGTACGCGGACATTAACGGAATTGACTGTCTCGCCTGTATCCGGCGGAAAGACGACAAGGTCAACTGCGACCCCGCTGAGGGAGAATGCAATCTTTTTGTGTTTACTACGCTCGAGCTTGAGACGACGCCTGGATTTGGTAGTACTTCGAGGTCGTAGAGTAGCTCCAGTCGAGCGTGTCGCTGTCGATGTCGCATAACTGCCCGTCTCGCTGGCAAGATCGTCAATATCATGGTTGATACGTCGGGCTAAAGCTCCTTTCTCGTCCTTCACATCCACACCAATCCAGACCGAGTTGAAGAGGAAGTCTTGCTCAACGAAGTCATCGTCGTCATCTTCTTCTCGTCCCTTATGCCGTCGCTCCTCGGCGCGAGCCTCAACGTCATCCACAGCTTTGCTGATAACGCTCCGTGTTCGAGGCCAGTCATAGCCGTCGTATAAGTTCCAGATAACGTTGACGTCGCGGACGCGTACCTTTAGTGGAGCGCCTGTAACCTTGAACTCATTGGATGGATGATATTGGTTCTTGGCAGAATCCCATTTACGGGCTTTACCCTTTGGTTCAATATTTGACTCTCCGAAGTAGTCGTCGTCAAAATCAAACGCTTCTTCTCCTTGAGTGACTTCGTGCTTCTCCTGGAAGCTCTCAAGGAGAGCTCGATCGCCACGCTGGCGAGTTATAGGCGGTATGGCCAAAGCGCTGAGATCTTCTTCACCCAGTAGACTGTCGCCCATTTCTTCTTCAGTCAGCAGGGGCTGTGAATTGTAGACTCCACCAACGAAGGTAGGCTCCCTTGGCAGATCATCCTCCATCAAGTCAGCATTGCTCATGAAGTCATCGGCTTCTTCATCTTGCAACAGTCCATCGCCAGTGAATGACTCCACCATTTGCTGTAGCGGTACCATACGATACTGTTCTGCGGTTGATGGTGGCGTTGGGGGCTGTAGACCGCTCAGAATTGCCATGAGCGTCTGTGTAGAATCTGCGCATGACTCGATAACAAACAGCTCATTTTTGAACTCCACGTCCACTAGCTGTGGGTGTTCCTGTCCATCACCTCCAATATTGACAGATATCTTTGCGGCCGAAATCGAACTCAAAGACACATAGCCCAAGTTTTTCAGCCCATTCAATTGGCCGTTGGCAGAGGGTATGGTAGAGACAGGTCCGTGGTCTTCTTCTAGGCGCGCTATGTCATCTATAGCATGCATCGAAGCCTTGCGGAGGTCGACCGTGACAGAATAGTCGTTTCTTGCTTGCTTACCCGTAACATGCGCTTCCGTGAGGACGAAGAGACCCTTCGAGAGTGAGTTCCGAGGATTGAGACCAATTGCGCAATCCCTCAGTAAAAGATCGACCTGAAGCGGCTGAGAGACTGCTGTGACTGGCGAACTCGCCTGGGAAGATTGTCGGCTGATGGTCTTAGGAGAGGATGCGCCTGTGACGGTTGCGACGCTCGAGGCCAGGCCTATAGCCAGATCGTCTACCGTGCCATCCTCAGCAATCCCCAGCGCTGCCATAATCGTGCTGACTCGGTATTCAACGCATAAGTTGAACAACTTGACTTTCACCATGGGTTCCATCTCATCGCCCACCATCCTCAGCATGATGACGGGTAGTTCTTCCGATGGGTCTAGCTCCACAACTTCATGAACCAATACTTCTTCGTTGCGCCGAACAGTCGCTTTGCTTACTTCGACAGCAAGCAAAGCAGGAACTCCGACGTGTGCTAACGCGGATTCCTGCAAGATGACTGAGACATCTCCAAGTTTCTCATTCACAGTAACGCGAGCATCCAGCCGTTTCACAGATGCGAGGCTTAGAAGGCCAGGTCGATCATCATCTGGCAAGTATTTGGTGACCTTGGATAATCGAGCCAGCTCTATCCCCAGAGCCTCAAAGGCTTTCATGTGTTCAAGATCTGAAACATGAACACCGATTTCAGCGATTTCAACTCGGAGTACGGAACCTTTCTTTCGCTGACGTAGCAGGGTTTCGATGAGAATATCGTCGTTGTTTTCGTACGGGTTCTTTGATGGCGTGATTAGGGATATTAGCCTAGTGAGATCCTGCTCGCCAGGAGCGAAGAGAAAGTTGATTTCAGTGCCTTTCAATTCTCCAAAAAAAGGTGCAGTCTTGGGGGCGACCTCGGTGTAAGGGCCAGTCAGCTGTGTCTCGGAAACTTTGAGGCGCACATCGCTTTGCCGTACAGCAATGCGCACCGTCGTGGTGTGAAGTTGCATGGAACATGACTTCCCCCTGAGGGCCAAAGATACCTCACCGAGTTTTACGTCGATCTTCGGAGACTTCGTGGGTGGTGATTCTTTGACAGGGGGAGGTAGACCATCACCAAAATGTACACCGCGAGGCCGAGAACGGGCTGGAGATATGACCGGACTTGCGACTGCGCTACTAGAGTTGATGGAGTTGCTCAACTCTAATATGCCGCTGAACCCACCAAATGAGCCCAGCGCGTCGTCTAGTTTCTGGATGTCAAACAAAATGTTGAGGGGACGGGTGACGATGGTGATACGATCGTCTTGCCCCTGCTCGTACTTCAGTTCTATATCGTGATTGGGTTGTTCTAGCGGGACATTGGCCGACCGTCTGGATTTCGGCCGTGAGCTGCGGAAGGAAATGATGTCTTGATCCAAAGATGCTAATGTGAACTTGCCAATATGAAGTTGAGTTTGCAAAATACCGGAAGACTTGCCACTGGTGAGGTGTATAGCAGAGAAATCGGCTCTCAATATTGCGTCCGAAGGTTGAAGTTCCAGTTGGTGCTCTGAAAGCGGCCCTTCCTGTTTAGATTCCGCCGACACGTGCTCCAGCCACGATAGAGCAATGCTCTGCACGGAAACTTCAAGACTGATAGGAGAAGATTCCAAATTTTCCGTGGGCTTCGATTTCACAGTTTCTTCGCTTGAGGAATGTTCCCCCGTCAGAGCTTGTGTTGCCCGAGCAAGCATAGCGGCCATGATGCGGCCAGTGGATATGTCCATATGACCGACTACGGAGCCGACATCGACAATGATCGAAGCCACGCCTGTTGTCGTGGGCTCCGCTGTTTGCCGAGATGTTTGAAGAGATGCGGGAGTAGGTCGTCCGCGAGACGATGCTTCCAGGGAGGGCTTTCGACGGTGTGAAGAAGAATGTGCATAATTGGAGAACGATCCTGGCATCTCCGTGAAAATAGAATCTTCACCCAGATTGGAAGGACTAAACTCCATGCCTGCCGCATCATCGGCTTGCTCGCTTGTTGCATCCTTATGCTCTTTGTCACCGAGGGCCATGGGGAACCACACAGTAATCTCATCTATGGTGAGAAACCGTTTGGCATGTTTTCGCGGACCGGGCGCGTCAGGCGTAGGGGTTTGTGTAAGTTCTGGTCTTGGCGGCAAGACCGAGCTCTGGCGGCTCCCCGGACGTGGAGTCTCGCATCCATCGTCTGCTTCTGGCAATGGCGCTAAAATGCTACCGGAGATCATATCCTCTGGTATCGGTTCCGACCTATCGGAACTATATTCTTTACTTGAGTCTGACGAAGAGTCCCAGCCTCCGGGAACATGTCCAGCATGAGCGGAACTAGCCTGCGTCGCACTCACTGCACTCATGTACATACTTTCAGCCTCATCGTGCGTGAAAAACCGTGACTGGGCCATGTCTTCATCTGGTGAAGGCGATGAATCAAGGTGCTGGTGCACGTCGTCGGAAAGCTCCTGAGTATCATCCGTTGTTCGCTCATGTGCTGCAGCTAAGTTGTCAGTACTGATGTGGGGTGCATGGACATGGCCCGATTGAGACGGTGAGTCGATCACATTCGGGATTGGAAAGGAGCGACCCAGAGCAGACACAGTAGGCAAGTCTGACACGGATGCATCACTAGCGGCTTCGGAGATGTGAGTATGTCGGCTTGAAGTTGCACCATCTAGCCCCCACGTCGCCGCTTCCGAGGACTGTTCCATTGCCGGTACCTCCTCAAGTTGTGAATTGAGCATGTCATTCTGCATCGCGAAGTTGAGCACGTCCTCTTCATACGATAAACTACCCTCGCCAAGATCAGAGAATGCATGATGTTGCTGAGACTGGCCGAGTGAAGGCTGCAGTTGTTGATCATACACGCCGTCATCGGAAGTAGCGTCTGCAAAACGATCATCGTCTGTTGTTTGCGGCGACAGCGCTAGCTGTGCTTGGTCCGGGGATAAAGAACGCTTGGGTGAGGCAGCTTCTCCGCGAGAGATGGCACTCTGGACTTCTGTTGGCGAAACGATCTGGCTGGATGACGCCTCTTCATCGCTCCGGAATGTTGTCGAGCTTATCACTTCCTCTTGTATGGAGTGCCTAGACTCAACAGGCTGGTCTTGAACTTGACTCGTCGCAGGTTCGCTGGTGGCTTCATGGCTGCTTGACGCCTGAGATCGCGAAGTAGGCGGAGATGACGGCTGCGAGAGCTGCGATTGAGATACGAAATTTTTGACATCAGACACTAAACGCCCGCAGATGTTTTCCACCCGCATTCTCCGCTTACCTAGCTTCGAGGTGGCGGGAGGCAACGTTGTGGACTCAGCGTCAATGCGAACATCTTTGGCAGTGGTCGAGTCAATCGCTATACGCTGAACGTGAAAGCTCAAAGAAGAAGGTGAGGTCTCGCTTGACTTCGACGAGTCCATGGCATCGTTAGGGAAGTGATCCTCCACATCTATATCGATGTTGTGGATAACTATGCTTAGACGATCTAAAGCGGTGTTCAACATACTGCGAAGATATGTTGGGATCGTCAGAGGCGCTCCAATACCGACAGAAGCCTCTTCGCCATCGTCACTCGATGCGACCGACTCGTGCATATACGTAGGTTGAGACTCGAGCTCACGCTGCAGCTCGCGAATTTCTTCCAGAGGCTCCGTCTTTATGAATGAATTGGCCAGCTCGTCTACGGTGGGCACGTAGTCGTCGTCATCGGTGTCATTGTCTGAACCATCGTTGTCCTGGTTGTTGGGGGCAGCGGAAGGCGAAGCGGCCGTTGGAGGTGGCGAGGATCGTTTCTGGGTGTGCTGTCGGCGAGTATTTGAAGAGGGAGCACCTTCGACATGCTCGATCAACCGAGCTTCTACCCGTATGCCATGTACCTCTATCAATATCTGGGGGACGCCGAATTCGAGGACGAAGGTGACCCGGAGGAGCGAGGCTTGCGCTTTCAACAGCTGGATCTCGGGAGGGAGCGTGAGGTGTAATAGTGCTAGGAGTTTCTAGAACATGGTGTCAGTACTAGGCGCAGAGTGAGGGACATCTCCGGGACGTACCTTGACGTGCAACCCGACGTCCCGAACCTCGAGTGTAGTGCGCCACCCGACATCGACGCTCACGAAGTCGGCAGGGTCTTTGTCCAGTATGTCGATGTGGCGCAACCCGTAGAGGAGCATCTTCCGGCCGATGGAGCTCGAGAGCGTAGAGAAGAAAGCCATGGCGGTGGAGAGGCTGGCGACCGGGTTGGGGGACGCGCTGGTGGCAGGCTGGTCGAACGCCTATCGCCGGGAGAGAAGAGGCTCCATGGATAGCGGAGCGTGCGGGTTGGTGGCGCGTGTCACGACTGCGAAGTGTGAAAGTCTTCCTATCGGTACGGCGATGCACAGTGGTGCCTGCCAAGTCTTGTTGCTTCACCAGCCGCGGATGTGAAGTATGGACGGTCCCGGATCTAGAAAAAGCAGAACTGTAGGGGCATCAACAACGGGATTAGTGAGGGTGCCGGTCCGCGTGGCAATAAAAGACGTGGGTGATCACAGGGCGAGGTTCCGCCGTCTAGCGTCGAGGTTGCGGTGCTATGGAGCGCAGATGATGTGTTATGCCATCGCAGGCGACCGTGCAGCTGCCATCACCCGCTACCGCCCCGCGCATGCACCAACGCGCGCTAGGCAATCGATAAGCAAAGCCCCAACGCGTCAAGAGCGCGTGCTGTGAATCGGACAATTGTGGCGATTGCGGTGCGGTTTAGACTTCACATTCGAAGAGTGAAAGACAGCATTCCCTGTGTTCCCGCGTGCCCTGCTGGTACATGTAATCTGTGCAGGCCTCCGTATCTCGCCGCTCTTGGCACGACTTAGACCCGGTTACGTCAGCAGTCACTAGCTCCATTCAGGAAGGAACTCGCGGAAGTCACCGATAGGGCGGCGTCTGACACTCTTGCAACAAATTGTGAACAACATTTCCTTCACCAAACATTTGTTATTCTGAGCCGCAGACACAGTCGCTATCATGACTACGAACGATGCTGCGAACGACGACGAGTGGGCGCAGGCCGAAGGCGTCCCGAACCTAAGCGACCCATTCATCCAACAGTACTTACAGGGCCGAGACGCTTTGGTTCAGCAAGAGAAGAGACAACGAAGCGGTTCGTGAACCAAAATGTTCGTCACTGTTCAGCATGTGCAGTGGTCTAACCACATCCAGACTATCTTTTCCGCCAGAATCTATCGCCCATGGCCCAGGAAGCATGCGCCATCGTCTCCCAGATTCGATTTGAGGAGCAACAGACTCTCTGGACAAAGGAATACGAAGACAGCTTACTAACCGAACATGTCGATGTCTTTCCAGGCATGATGTTCTCACTTGCCAAGGAGCGCATGGAGAAGAGCAAGCTGTGGCAGATAGTCAAGCGAATGCCGAAAGGCGCACTCTTGCACTGTCACTTGGAAGCCATGGTGGACCTTGACTGGGCGCTTGAAGAAGCTTTCAACACTGAGGGTGTCTGCGTTATTGCTGATAGTCCCATCACCGACGACAAGACCAGGCGCAAAACCGGCTTCTCCTTCACCTACTCCAAGGACGCGAACGGTGACGCTTCAATATGGAACGACAGCTACACTGCGAACACCGCGGTGCCTGTAAATCAAGCCGCGGATACCTTTCCAAATGGTGGCAAGAAGGCCTTCATCGAATGGATTCGGTCCCGCGTCACTATTACCCATTCAGAGCACCTCTCTCATCACGAAGGTCCCAACGAAGTATGGCGCAAGTTCATATCATGCTTTCCTATTCTCGGCTCCCTCATATACTACGAGCCCATATTCCGCAAGTTTGTACGCAGGATGTGCAAGGCTCTAGTCGACGATGGCGTATACTACGTTGACTTGCGTGCAGCGTTCTATACGCCCTACCGCAGCAGCAAAAAAGAGATCTGGGACTCGGATCACTTCAATTTGCTTGAGCATCTGGCGGACGAGATTGAGAAGTTCAAGGCGAGTGAGGACGGAAAAGACTTTTGGGGCGCTAGAATGATCTGGACGACCATCAGACAGTTCGGAAAGAAGCAGGTGATTGAGAGTAAGTTGCTTGCCACTCGCACACATCTCGTCCACTATCATCGCGTCTGGGAGCTTTTGTATTACCATACTAACAATCGGCCAGGCATGAAGCAATGCATCGAGATGAAGATCGAATTCCCCGAGATTATCGCAGGCTACGACCTCGTGGGCCAGGAAGATCTCGGCCGCCCGCTTTCGGACCTTGCACCCGAGCTTTTCTGGTTTCGCAAGGCCTGCGCTCAGGAAGGGGTCGACATACCTTTCTTCTTCCATGCCGGGGAAACGCTTGGTGACGGCGACTCCACTGACGAGAATCTCTTTGACGCTATTATCTTGGGTACGCGACGCATAGGACACGGGTTCAGCCTTTACAAGCATCCACTCCTTATCGACATGGTTAAGGAGAAGAGGATCTTGGTGGAGAGCTGCCCAGTATCCAATGAAGTGCTAAGACTTTGCTCGAGCATCATGTCGCATCCTCTACCAGCGCTGCTAGCCCGCGGAGTTCCTTGCTCGCTTTGCAACGATGATCCCACTATCCTTGGTCAAGGCGTATCGGGCATGTCGCACGACTTTTGGCAAGCGCTTCAAGGATGGGAAAATCTTGGTCTTGAAGGCCTGGGCTCATTGGCGGAAAACAGCGTGCGTTGGGCTAGTCTGGATGATTACACTGCGAAAGAGTGGACCCAGGATGTCAAGGATGGAATGTTTGGGAAGGGAGTACGGGCACAAAGATTGAAGGAGTGGGTGAGCAAGTGGGAGAAGTACTGTGCTTGGATCGTCGAAGAGTACGGTGTGGATGAGAACGTAGAGCCGGAAGAGTGAATCTCTACAAGGCATAGGAACTGCTTCGGCACGGCACATACAGGGTGGAACGAGATTCAACATCGTGTTTGGCAAGATGCATCACTCGAAAGACATGGCCATCCTCATTTCGAAGTTCATGAGTGCAATGAGGTAGCGAAATGAGCTGCCGATGGAACACGTTCAACATGAACCTAATGGCCCCTAGGACTCTCACCTCATTAGTCAAACAAACACCCGACCAGCCGTATGCCAAGCTGTCGTACGCTCCCTTCACCACCGTGAGCATCACCATTCTCCCCTGATTCCTCGCTCCGAAATGAACGCAGGTGATAATCTCGACCGAGCGATCCGAGGGTAGCTCTAGATCCGTCGCTAAGGCTGTATACTTACTTGTAGGTTGTTGTACAATAATAAGATAACATAAATCCTACTAGCGCGTAAATAAAAGGTCTAAACACAATAATTAATATATAGTAACTTATTAAAGCTTTTAAAAGCTTTCTTATATCTACTACTAAGTTTAGTAATCTAAAGCCTATAGTAAAAAATACTTCTAGTACTTATTCTACTTTAAATAATTTAATATTATAATATATAATAGCTTTTATATAATTTTTAAGATAGAAATATTTAAAGAATAAATATTTCTTATACTAATTTAGAATAATAAGTAGAACTCTAAGTATATTTAGATATAGCTTAGCTACTTTACTATTTAGCTTTAATAGTAAAAAGTACTAAAGTTCTAAAATATATATAATACTAGCTACTAGAATAACTTTTCTATTAATATTATAGTATACTTAGTAAAACTATATATAAAAGTAATATACTTTATTAGCTTACTACTATATATTTATCTAGTAATTTTAAACTCTAAGAACTATATTTTACTTTAAGTATTAATCTAATATAATATAGTATATTAACTTATTCTCTAGTATCTTAAGTCTAATTTAGTTATCTTTATAGTAAAATAATATTAAAAGATATTAAAAAATGTTAAAAGACTTTAAGCTAGTCTCTTTTAGAACTACTAAATAATTTTAATATTAATTTAGTATATATTACTATAGTAATATAGTTAATTTAGCTTATAGACTTATTCTATACTTACTTATATAACTTTCTAGTTTATACTATAACTAGAAATAACTAGAAATAATATAAGATATAGTAATAGAAATACTACTAATAAAACTTACTATATCTATTCTTAGCTATTAATTATAACTTTATTTTTATTCTTAGCTAGTAATATTAATATAATAACTACTAGTAGATAAGTCTTATTTAAAGTAACTATAATATATAACTATAGTATTTATCTAAGTAATAGTATTAGATAAAAGAAAATAAGCTATAAATACTAAATCTTTTATTTTCTATTTCTTATTATTTATTCTAAGAATTCTAGAGATAGTACTATATTACTATAGTAGAGAGGTTAGAAGTATTTCTATTAGAATAGATACTTAATATTATTTATTATATTATATATATATATATAGTTATTATTCTTATCTAAACACTATTTAGACTTAGCTTTATCTAGTATACTAACTCTTAAGCCTAATAGCTATTTAGCCTATTATTATATTACTAGTTTTACTACTATATTACTAAAGTTAAGTCTACTCTATATATAAAAATAGTAAAGGCTTTATTCTTAGCTTTACTTTATATATAAAGTTATAGATATAAATAGTAATTATAATTAATAGCTCTTTTCTAGTTAGCTTACTAATAAGATAATTCTCTATCTAGCTTTTAGAAATATAATAATAGTGTCTATAAAATATATTATATATCTTCTTAGTAAGCTTCTTAAAGGTAAGAATAGAAAAAGAAATAATAAAAAGCTTTACTTTAGCTAGATAACTCTTTAGAATAATAGAAATATTAATAGAAATATTAATAAAAATATTAATAGAAATATTAATAGCTCTAGAATATATATATTTAGAGTAGAAAGTCTAGATTATATCTCTTATTATATAAATAGTATCTTATTCTATAGGTACTAGAATAGCTTTTAAAACAGCCTCTTTAATAGTTTCTTTTCTAACTATAGTAAATATAAAGTAGCTTATATAATCTTTATAATAGTAATATAGTTATATAAAAAGTAATTAATATAGTAATAATAAAGTTACTTAGTAGAGCTTCTTAATAAGATAGTAAAGTAATATAACTAGTTAGAGATTAGTTTTATATAGACTTATAATTATCTAGAAAACTTATTAATTATTTAAAAGTATATATTAACACTATAACGTAGCGTTTAGTATTAGATATAAGCTACTTATATCTTTAATCTTTAGAGTTCTTAATATTATTATTATATAAGTATAAAA